AAAAAAATAAAATAAAATTTTATAAGTATATAATCTAAGGTAAAGGAAGTATCATTGAAGAAAGGTAGAAATTAGTCGACCTCCTTGCCATGAAAGATGTTTCTGGAGGGAAACGGAACAATGCCAATGCTATTTCCGTCGATGATCGAATCTGAGCATGCCACGGTCGAAGAAAAGCGTGCCACCGAATCTTTAAAGCCCCTTTTCAGCTGACCGAATTAGATCCGCGAAGCAGCCGCCGCCACCGCGGCTACCACCACGTAGGACGACCTTCCTTCACACGAACACTTCGAACCTGGTTCCACCATGCTCTACCTGGCTCTACCGGGTCCTACCCGATAACCTAATCTTTCTCTTTTATTTCCTGGAAAATGTTTCCTAAGACATTCGTTAAACTTTCCTTATCCTTTATTCATCTTTCCAATTGCCACTTTCATGTAAAGTTAACTATTTTATTCGTAAAACGATGTTCATCGTTCAAATACTTTTTTTTTTTTTTTTTACCAATTTCATTTATTTTTCTGTTACAAAATTGGGTAGAGAATTAATTATTCCCCTGCCCTCTCAAAAAGTAAAGGACTACATTAGAGAAATGATTTTTGTTATTCGAACAAACGATTAAATCAAACCTACGCGCGCTCGTAAATGACAATCTATGTTTAACTGAAACAAAACAATTATCAAAACGTGAAAGAATGTATCTTTCGAAATATTTAAATTTATATTATACTCCCATTCGTTGGCTGGGGAAGCTTATTTAAATTCACATCGAAATGAGATGATACCAGAAGAACTACCGAACGATAATGTTTTCTAATTTATTACTCGGCACACGTTGTTTATAAAACGTCAAATCCAAATGTCCAAAGTAATGTATCACTGGCAACGAATAAGTAGTCCCCACGAACACTATAAATCAATTTTAATCCTTTCAAAAAGAGACGACCCCCATATACCTTATCTTTATTTTCTACAAAATATATTCTATTATAAAATAAAAAAATATTGAGAGAAATATGTTCATTTATTTATTTTGCAAAATATTTGTTCGCGTTTAATACTTACAACAAACAGTACGTGGATTTTAAAGTGCACCGCCGGTTTTAACATCAACGAATCGAAAATAGATTTTAAACGTTAGAATTTTAAGTTGGAAACTATAAGTATAGGAGGTTGTTGCGTCATTAGGTTGTAGGTAACGCTTTGCATTTGTATAAAGGCAGCTTCTTCCTCGGTTTAAAGCTCAGAACATCGTTGATACTGCTGAATCTCTGTTACTGCACGCTCATAGAGAACGTACTAACTACTATTTTGTTTTTCTTTTTTTTTTAATCTTATTATCAATAATATTCTCATCGTGTTACACTTACCAATATACGTACACGCGTAGCTTTCTTCGTAGCTTTTCTCGTTGGTTAGATTACAAGAAAATAAAAAGAAGGAAGAACCTGTTTTTTTCTTTTTTTTTTTCGATTATCAAAGGTTTTTTCTAATGTTACGCGACGGAACCTTTTACACGAACGATATTAACTTATTCGAGATTCGTTTTCTTTTTTAATTAAAAGAGAAAGATAAAGAGAGAGAGAGAGAGAGACAGATAGAAAAAGAAAGAAAGACAGAGAGAGAGAGAGAAAGAGATAGATAGAGTTCGTTCATTCGAACAAATCTCTACTTTATTGTAGAAGATTGTACGAGAATCGTGTACCTTCGATGACTGGCTCTAATAAAAGACGAGAACGGGTTAGGTCTCTTCTGGATAGGTCGAGATCGTGGTGGGAGCTTCGACACGAAGTCAAAATAGATTACCGACCTCTTCTCTTCTCGCAAACCGAATTAACGTTTTCCCTTAGATTTTAGTTTCGAAGTAAGAAAACCATTACATCAACGTACATTTCTTCCAATTGGAAAATTTCGAAAGCTTGTAATATCTCTTACGAAAAGTTCAGCATATCTAATGAAGGATGCCAAGAGTTGGATGGCGCAAAATCTCTTACTTTAAATTATTATTCAACTACTATATATATTTATTTATGAATGTGCACCGATCTATCAAACAGCCATGAGTCATAACAATATTTCGACATTAACAAATTGAATTATTTGAGTTATTTTGATAAGAGAAATATGTGAAGAATTTTTGGAAATATGTTTTTCTTTTTCATTTGCTAGTTTTTTTT